GGCCAAAGCAAGTTTCACTGGGATGCCTGGAGAGGACTGGAACTGCAAGAAGTCCCGTCTGGCACGCTTTACAGCTATGCTTGCCAACATTGCTGTTTGTGGGCCCTGATTTTTTTCCAGCATGCATCATTTGCATTTTTGGATAATAAGCTTCCCTCATTTAACTTCTTAAGAGTCCAGGAAATGCACAGGTACGCCCCACTCCATTCCTCTCCCACCTGTGATCCACAGGCCTTTCATTGAAAACCACAGCATAGTACAGACCACAAAGTTCCCCAAGACTGCAGTGCAGTATTTCAAGTGCAGGTGCTGCCATGCAGCTGAAGCTCGACTTGCATTTTTAAAAACATTTCTTGGCAGTTACAAAACACAAGTAATGCATGTAAAACCCTTTCAAACTGCTCAGGCAAAGTATCTCCCTGGGACAATACTGATGAGATTATATTGCCAAAAATAGTCCAAGCGACATATGGAGAAATAAGAAAATTAATGGAAAGAGTATCCCTAAAACGCACAGTTCAATTTATAGAGGGAAACGGGGGCTTCAATCCCACTGGAAATACAGGTGGGAAGAGGACGGAGTCCTTCAGACCAAGTAATTTCAATCCCAGGATCATCTCTGCCCTCTTGTGGACAACCTTCCCTCCTGCAGCTTCTCGGCAGCTTCCCGACAGCAGGAACAAGGCAAAACCATTTCTGCCCTTCCCTGTGCTTCCTTCCGCGGGCTAGGAATGGCCATTCCCAATCCAAGGGGCAGCCACGCCCAAAGCCCAGCCAAGCAGCGACCCTCGCTTGGCTCCTGCATGACCGCAGCTGTGTGAGAGAGCAGGTGGCTGGTCCTGCTCCTCCCTGGAAGGAGAAAATCCCAAAGCAAGGAAACGGATCTGTGCCTGGGCCGAGGGATGCACACACACACAGTGACCAGGTGGTGCCTGTGCACTCACAAAGGAAAGCTGCGTGCTACCAGCCCATATTCTGCCCTGCTGCACTACATTCTGTCATTTACAGTGAACCAGCCTGGATTAGGCTCCTGAGAAGGGGGTTGTTATGATTCTAGCAATAACATTACTTAAACTGTGTGGTCAAGCTTCAAATTATTAAATCTAGTATTTCTGAGTTATTTTCTCATGGTGTAAAATCCACCACTGGCATACCTTTCTAATACAACATTTTGCCTTGATTGTTTTCTTGCATCTAGGTAATTAAAAGTATTTGAGACCTTATTCCCTTCTGAGTCCTTACAATTGCACTCGTGTCTGGCAACTTCATCAAAGAGAATTTCATCTTTAAAATGATTTTATCTTTTCATGTTACAAAATAAAGAAAAGCATACTGTGGCACCCCAGTTTCTGTGCCAATGATGAAGGAAGCATCATTCTCCTCCTGCGGACAAGATGAGCACCAGCTAATAAGTAATCTGTAGGATTATGAAACAAAAAAGTGCTCCCCTGCCAAAAAGCAAAACATGCAGGTTTGCTTCCTTTTCCTCACCCCTTACCACTGACAATCAGACAAACAATTTTTTAAAGATCAGGCGGCTCTCCCTCAACCAAAGAAGTCAGTGACCTGTGTTTTTCTACACCAGAATAAATTATTTGCTCTCAACACCTTTTGCTAGGTTGTGCTCCTTCCTTTAGCAAGTCTGCCCCTTTATTTTTTCAGTTCCATGGAATCAAGACAATAGGAAGCAGCACCTGACTGTGCTTCTCACAGGAACTTACAGACCACACGTAAAAGCTACTGCAAACCACTTAGGCTGGACCCTGTGTCAGGGGCAATACTGACCTTATCAGATCTTTTTTCCTGGGAACTTCTAGTGAGAATATCCAGCCACTTGGACCCTCTTCCCCAGGAACAGGCAAACACAATGCAAGCTCTTTCCTCCAAACCAGGAACAAATGAATGATGTTATTTCCTATGGCTGGTTTTGGGAAAAGTACATAGCAACACCAAATCATAGCAGCAAAAACAAGACACACTTATTTACTAAACCTTTATTTTAAAAAAGATTACAAAATATTTTATAAAGTTCCTTAGATCAAGAAAACATAATGTGTTAAAAAAGATCACAGGTTTAGAACGATAAAAAAATATTTAGGCATTTAAAAATTATTTAGATGGAAATTCAAGGCAACACTGGAAACTACGAAATTCTTGCTTTATATATAGAAAATTAATGTATTATCATCTTGCTTTAATAATAATGAAAAAATCACTTAAATTCTTAATGGTATTAAAAGTGACATATAGCTCTGTCCAGCATAAAATTTAATATCCAGAGAGCTGCTTATGTTTACAGCAATAGACTAAAACAAAGATGAATTTTCATCTTCAAGGCAGTATCAGCATCTTTATTTGCTACAATTTTATGGAACCTTTGAAAATTTTCACTAAGAATTTCCCTTCTGTGTAGAAAGCTTGGTACTTTATTGCACAAATTTGAACAAGGATCACCACGACAGCCATTATGCAAAACCATCTTGTGCTGAGCTCTGAGAATTGTGTGAGATCACTCACTGCTCTCTCAGGTTGGAAGGTGCAAAGACAGAACTCACCTGTAACAGACCACAACCCTTCCCTGCTCTTTTCAAGCACAGAGAACAAGCAGTGAGGCACAATTCCTTCCCATACTCAGAACCAAAGGGCACTGGCAGCACTGTGATTTTAATGTGGGCTAAACATCAAACACAAAAATTAACATTCACAATCTATGCAATGCCCAGTACAGATCTTGAGAGCAGTTCACAGTCCAGCTACTGGACAAGTCCTCATGAATCCTGAAAAATCCTCTCCACTGATTCTCAAGGTACTACAAAAAAGCCTTGAAAGTGGTTGCAGAGCCTTAGCCTTGACAGGTTCAGCTGGAAAACACCAAAGCTGAGTGTCCAAGCAGGCTCCAACCCCACTGCCAAGCACTGTGGTGAAGAATGGAGGAGACAATCCCCAGACAGATGTACTGGGCCAGCTGCTTCCTTCCAACAGGCTTTACTACCAGTTATGATGTACAGAGATGTTCACTTTGCCAACTGAAGAAATTTGAGGCAGTTGTATCAAACAGCATTTCTGCCAGAGCTCCTATCACTCTCCTGAACAATCCCTAATCTGCTTAAACCAAAATCAGCCACCTTAACGGAAGCAATTTAAATAGCTGGTTTAAATAAGGTTGGCAGATTTCATCAGAAGCAGGCTGGGAAACAAGCAAAGGGCTTTGCTGACAGAGCACGAGGAGTAAGAGGCATCCAGCATACACACAGAGCTCCTGCAGAACCAGACATTTAATCCAGCTCCAATAGTATTCTCTAGGATCAGTCTAATTAAGAGACAGACATTTAAAGCCAGCACCTGACACCAGAGGCATCAAAGGGACATGTCAAGGCTGCAGACAAGTCTGCTCAGTCACTGCAGCAAGGAAGCCTCTCCCCCACCTAGACTGGGAGGGCAGAGGACCCAGGAGTGATAAGGAAAGCTAGGATATAGGAAGCTGATAAAGCAGTGTAAAAAATAACCTCACAGAAGCAGAAAACAGCACACACACATGCAAATCCGCTTCTCAACTATTTTAAAACAGAGCAAAAACATCCTACAAGGTGCAAGAATTAACAGCACTATCATGCATGTTAGCCAGCAACTGGTTTGGAAGCAACATTTTAGGCAAATGCCTCAAACCTACAACCATTCTGTGACTTGCTCCTAGGATTTAACTACTATGTGACAGACTATGGCCAGGTAAACTGCCAAGGCCAGGAGATGACTTTACAGATCCCTTTCTGTATTTCCAAGAATGGACATCAGTAACACATCACTTAGGTGGGGAAAAGCCTATAGAAAAAAACCAGCCAAAACCTAGACTTCCATTAACTTATCCTCAGGCTGAGAAAAATAACAGGAGAAATTACCTCAAGATAAAAGTCCTTTCATGGTGCTGCATTGCTTAATAAATACTCAGCAGCACAGTATTGCTCTTACATTATATTTACAGCTACCAATTACAGGTGAAGATTTAAAGACTATAGACATTTTGGTGTGGAAAAAAAATTCAGCAAAACTCTAGGCAATAAAAAGAAACCAAAACAAGACTGTTGGAATGTTACTTATATGGGCATGGTCCCCAGAGTAAGACATTGCAGATTACAGAAGAGATATTTTTCATTATGGATATTTTGTATCACCAGTAACACTGCTTGTAAATCAAACATCTCTAATCAACCCAGTTATCAGAGACAGCTACCAGCAAGCACTGACTGAAATTAAATTTTAGTGCAAACGGACACTAATAAATACAAGGGGAAAAAAAGCCAGTCCAAAGAGCATTTCTCCTTTACAACACAGAAAATTCTATGAAGGAAAGTATCTCTTCTATGCATAGTTCTAAAACCAAGCTGCAGCTTTAATTTGGTGCTTCACACCACCCAGCAAAATTTGGCATCCTCCAAGCAAAGTGTAGTGTTAGGCTTAAGTCTCAGGCCATAGAGAGAAAGAACATCACAAAATCACACTCATCAGAAAGTGGCAGCAATGGGAAAAAAACCAATTTTGACTTGCTACTACAGTCCTTTGTCTTAAAACAGCTTCCTCTTCCTTTCCTAAATACAGCTCAGGCAGTTTCTGGAGGGCTTGGTCTCAATGCTGCCACAATAGGTTACAGGACTGGGAACACCCCAGGCTGGGATACCGGTGAAATGCAGTTAAACTCTGGGAGACACAGCAAAAGGCTCAAGCACTCAGTCAGGTTTTTCTTATTTGCTTTGCTATTTTGGAACATCTCCTGGCTTACAGTAATTTGCTCTGCTTTTGAAAGCTTTCCTCTTAAGAGAGGCATAGCAGTCTTGCTTTTACCTCAGACATCAGAAAAATGCTTTTTTGGCACTTCATCTCTTTTACAGCCATCAACATCTGGGCTGACACATCCATCACCTGTCCGATACGTGTCCCATCAGTAGTTTTCCTTGCAGTCCTACAGACTGTTGCTTGCAAAACAGATCAAGGGGACAAGTGCTTATTCACCTGTTCACCAACTGAGCTAGTCAGCAGCAAGGAGTCTCAAGCTACTGCCGTATCAATAAACACAGAAAATGGTGAGGTTTAAAACCATTCTGGCAAAACTTAGCATTATCTATACATAAACAAGCTGCATATGGCATTAACCATGCAAGTAATATTCACCAGGGTAGAACCAACATGCTCTAAGGTTTTTGCCATTGATATTCAGATTGCTGCTTCTGGGGTTGCTTCATGTAAAATACTTATTCTTTATCTTATTTCTCCCACTGCTGGCTTTTCTAGTTTCTTCCTGCAAATGTTACAGCTTTTGAAACCATCTGAAAGAAGATTCTGGCATACAAGTCCAAACTTTGACAATCATGGGGTGCAAAACTGTCTCTCAATATACCATTTACATTACCTTCCCCATAAACTCCCTACAGTCACTATAACATGAAACTGATCTCCATAGACAGAACTGAGACACAGGACTAGTAAAAACAACCCCAAACCCCTTACTTAAGGATAAACATTCCTGTAAATTCCAGTCAGGTATCCCTTTTGCATTCAGTTTCACCAGGAAGTACAAAAATGAATTCTGCTGTGCTAATTTTTAACTCACAATAGAAACATCTGGTTCATTTAACCAGGAAATATCTTTAGGTTATAGGTCAGAATTTATGCCTCAGACATTAACCTTTATTAGTCATCTCTGTCAAAATCAAATCAGCACACTACTGTTCTGAAGTTATTCTGTTTAGACCCAAGGTTTCTTAGTACCTGTCATCCCAGCAGATGGCAGGACCAGATTAATAAAGCTAGCTGTGACAAAAACTCTCAATCTACAGGTACCTTAGAACATGATGCCCAAGATGCCATTACCTGACCAAGAATCCATAAAAATTGGTGATGAGCAATGTGTACAAAATCGACTAAAAGAAAGAAACAGAAGTTGTTACCTACAGCGCACTGAAAGTTCATATTAGTTTGCTCCACTCAAAAAAAAAAAAAAAGAAAAAAAAAAAGAAAAAAAAACAATTTCAGGAAGTTATCTTTTTTTATTCAATGGCTGGTTTTCTGTGGCACTCGGAGCGTTAGGAGGCTTCTCAGGGTGTTTCTTGACGTTCCGTCTTTGTTTTATTCTGAGACAGATCTCTATGACAAGTTCAGCTACAAATACAGAAGTTGCAAAAAATCCAAATACCTGTGAAAAGGACAGAAATATGTGCTTTCAAAATGCATAAACAGTATTTATTCTAACACTGTTTGGAAAGATTCACTGTACCATTTTATATACCTTAATAATGCTCATAATATTAAGATTATAGTCCTCCTTAAATCAATAGTTTCATTTAAATTAGACACAGATCAGAAGTCATAATTCTAGCATATTCATTGTGAAAGTTTTACAGTTGTCATTCTTTTAATCAAGTGTGAACCTTATACTGTGTTCTAATCAACCTTTAATAGCAAAAGTATATTAGTTGCATTGTCAAAATCAGTTATTAAAGTAGCATGTAGCAGACTATTTATCTAAGAGAGGGCTGCTGATTGATGAGAGCAAATGAAGAATAACACAAAGAAGATGAAAGAAGACAAGATCTGCAGAGCCTGGGTCAGCAAGGGAGAATGAAATGACATTTTGTGAATGACATTTTGTTACCAGTCATGGCAAGATGAGAGGTGGTAAAGAGAAGGCAGCTTTTTTCAAACAAGAAAAGAAACATATGCATTATTCCAAACTCTACCTAAATTTTACACAACTGGTTTGGACCAAAGTAGTTTGACATTAATAAGTATTAAATCACAGTAGTTTTTATTTTTTCTGTACCAAAAAAAGCAAAGCTGACACCTAATTTATGCTCAACCTATTAGGTCTAAATAGATCTACGTCACATAAGATGACAGTACAGAAGCGTGTATCTCTAATAGCCAATGCTGCCATGGAACAGAATTATCTTGTTTTCTTTTCCACATCAGCTTTCCAGCAACTCTGAGGAATGCCAGCTCTTTGGATTTCCTATGGTAAGTTTCTGGAAGATGTGAAATAGCTAATTCCTCCTGAAACATCACAATGCACTGAGATCTATTCCCTGCCCAATTCCTTCTCTGCAAATTGAGTGAAGTTTAGAGGGCAGAGAAAATAACATACCAGAGAAATACAAAGTAAATCTTGCCATTTTAAGACTTACACATGCAGCATATTCTTCAGGCTCATTGCAGTTTGCAGAAAGCAGTATTGATGCTGACAGAAAAATGGCAACTATGAGCAGCACAGTCAAAAAATTCTGCAAATATAAAAAAATATATATAAAAATATATATATAATTTAACTGTAGATAGGTTACCTAAAAAGAATGAACATCATAACAACAGCTGAGTTAAACTGCCTGTGAATTTATGTTTTGATACTTTGATGCTAGTGGAAGCTTCAGAAAATACATTTCACAACTAAATTCCAAATGACATTCAACATTATCAGCTATTTGAACAGCATTATCATCTACTTAAAGGAGTCTGCCTTTTTTTTTTTTTTGTATTTTTAAGTATTTAATTAATTTAATCTAACCTTTTTTCACCATCAAATTCAATCTCAGTACAACCATGGTAGCTTTATTCCTTATATAAAACATTTAAGAAACCAGAAAACTGTAAGTAAACGTGCTCCTTCAAACCTTTTGCTACACTCCCTTATCTGTATCCTCACATAAAGACACCACTGTTTGCTCTGAAGGCACATAGGAAGGGACACTTGTGAGATGGAATAACGTTCCTACTGACTTTACAGAGCAACTTTCTCCCACTGCTGGATCATCTGAAGCATGAAGCCATAAACTGTAACTGTAACGAGCTATGATTATTGCCAAAAAGGAAGTAGTCTACACCCACTAGGAAAACAGATAGGGTAAACTTTTAATTTTTTTTTTTTAATTGCAAGCATCATGCTGGTGGTAAATTGTATTCCACATGTGTACAGTTCTGCAACGGCTATGCTGTAGTATTAGCAGCATTAATGTGGAAAGACTTTTCCACACAAGTCCTAAAATCCTGCAGGTAGCCAGCTTTGACAAACATGTCAATATAAACTCTCAAAGCTGGCTCATTTTTAAACTATAAAATACTTTAATCTACCCTTTACATGGAGAAGAAAAGGAGATTTATTTTGCATAGGCTTTTTACTCGACAGCAGACTTTATGCACTTAGAAGAAATGGCTTGTTTTTCCAAAAAAAGTTTTCTTACCAGTTTCCGCACTTTATCTTCCCCCAGTGATTCATACAAATCAGTGCAATACACATACAGAAACAGGAGGCTCAAAAGGAAGGCACTGCAGCTTGCAAATTCAAAGTAGTAAAGTGGACTACAGTTGTAGCATTCTTGCACAAGTTCTTCACAAACAACAGCCACTAAAGAGAAAATCTGCAAACAAATAACATGCTTGAGTTGGATCAAGTCTCTAACATCTTCAACAAACAGACATCTCTGACACGAAGATTAATAAAGTTAGCTGTGACAAAAACTCTCAATCTACAAAGAGTTTGGTGAAGTTCCACACTATTTTCTTACAGACAGAAATAATTATACAATGCCATGGTTTACACTTGGTTGTTAAAGGTGGTCCATAAAGTACACTCAGGTAAGCTGAGCACACAGCCAGACAGAGGCTTCTTGATTAGACAGACAACATTTCTGTTCTGTGGTTTTGTGCAGCTGCCAGTTTGAAGGAGATGAGGAAGCATGGAGAACACACATCCTGCAAAACGCTGCTGCTTACGACATACAGCTGCACTCAGTTCTGAATGTATTTGGGTTTAGGGCAGTGGGGGAAACTGGACAGCCCTGACACACTCAGCTACCTCCCTAAAAGTTCACAGCTGATGTTACCTCACTTGATCAAACTTCAGAGAAAGTCCATGAACCCAATGCTCACATGCTTGTGACCCAGTAATGACAGAAGCTCAACCGCTCTTGCAGGAACTGAAACCTTCACTATGTTCAAGCATGCTGGACAATGTTTAATCTATGCAGAGCTCTACATTCACCTTCCTGCCACAGTGTGTTTTGAGAAAAGAACATGACTTACTTCCTATACAGTCACCATATCCCTGCTGCTGGATTTTCTACTGTTTTATCATACAAGAAAGAATATTGCTTTATTTAACCATTCGCTTATTTTGGCCACTTCTTGCTAGTTCCTTCATCCCATAAATAGCATAATTTCCTTCATCCCATAAACCTGACATAGCTTTACAGATCTTTGTAAAAAGGAGTTCACCAAATTAAAATGAAACCAGAAGCAGGAATCAGACTGGGTCATAAAACTGAGACTGATATGAGAATGACGTGTATTTTTAATAAGAATATGTGGGCAATAAAGAAGTTGACAGTTCTTTGTTTAAAAAAAAAAAACAAAACAAATCTAAATTTAAGATTCAGAATTTTTCTTGGAAAATAACCATCAGTCTGGTTTCAGTTTTCTCACAGTAAAAACAAGAAGAACAATTTATCAGTAGGAAGTGTAAATTCCCCTTACTAAGCCAGGTTCAGAAGAGCACTTCAGAGAACCACATTTTGGAAATGCAACAATATAAAGTAAACAGGAGCTCAGAAAGGGAAAGAATGGGAGCTGGGAAACATCTGCAGGGGAAACTATCAGGCCTCCTCATGCTTCCTTTCTCTCCACAGTGGTTGGCAACACAAACTTCTCAGCAGCCCTTGCACCTGAACCAGTGAACTACAATGTCAGTCCAGCAATGTTTTAAACGCTGACTTTCCAGATTTTATGTTTTGGGTTTTGGTTTTTTTTCCATTTCTAAACATGGGCTTATAGCTGCATCCAATGACTTTCAATTTCACATTTTTCACAAGGTCAGCTGTGAGATAGCACTGTACATGAAAACATCTCTTTTTATAAGCTCTGGAAAGGGAAAGTCATCACTTTCACTTGGGCTGAAACAAAGCAGAAAGAAAATAAACTTGTCCTTAAAAGAAAGTACATGTCCAGATAACCATAATATGATCTAAATAGCTGAAAAAGCTTCTCTACAGAGTGTACAAGTTGAAAAACATCCCACTCAAACAACAGTTACTGTAAGTAACAATAGAGTTTAATGCAAATTAAAAGAGCAGTTATAAAGGGTTCAGTGTCAAATAACTGAGATTTACCAAGTACAATCCTGTGTGGGACTTGTCCAAGTCAATATTCATTTTTTTATTAATAAGCTGAGTAATAAAATAGAGTACATCAATTTAAAAAAAGTTGGCTTGAAGAACTTTAAGTAAGTGCTTTGATGAAGTTAATGTATCAGCAGCACATTTACAAGATGCTCTGCTTGGATTTCTTAACTTGCTCTTTTATATCACTTTCAGGAAAAAAAGGTATTCCTCTGTTGTCCTATTGCCACCAAAAAAGAAAAGTTTTCAACACCAAAAGCATTGTTGGAGAAGCACTTGTTTGGTATTTTTTAATTTTTTTATTAGCCCTGTCTGTTTATACACCAGAAATTAAACACCTTCATCTGTCTCTTACCAGCGAAAAATTATTCATTGACACTGACATTAGTGTTGGAAGTTTCTTAACAAATGTCAATTTATAAAGAAGATTTGACAAGTGAATTGCTACAAAAGAATTTAACAAATGAACTGCTACAAAAATAGAGCAGATCAATGAACTTGCCAGCAATCCTGTGAAGATGCTTGGCATCTGGGAGGTACTGGGATTTCCTGTACAAAATCTTCTAGTTCAGGTAGGTGCACATATTAATTCTCTATTAAGTTTACACAATTCAGGCTACTACAGAACATTAACAGCTCAAAAATGAGCTGATTTTTAAGCCTGAATTACAATTTTCCTTTCCAGCTAGGGCATTTTGACTCAATTAAACAATAATTGATGACAATTTGTCCTGCTTTAGGTAAGAATTAGTTTCTACCTCAATTTTGGCACAATACACATTGTGCCATTTACCTCTGTGCTGAATTTGAACCAGTCATGGACTAACAAAAACATTCCACATATTTTAAAAAGGCAAACCACAAACAAAGCAACAACACCCTAGAAACCTGTGCAATAACATGCCTCCCAGCATCCTTTAGGCACTCACATTTGTGACTTTTAGCAGTGACATTTTCCTTGTTTCATTTGCTCAGAAGAACTGGCTAAGGTTACAGAGCATGCCGTTATTCATCTGAAGAAAAGTATTTCTTAGGTCTAGAAGCCAGTTTTCTGCAGGTGATTTCAGAGTGATTTATAAAACTCTTGATCACCTCTGCAATGAACAGAGCCCACTTTCTGATTGCAACACCCTGTTTAGCAGTCCACCCCAGCAATTATCAGGGCATAATCCCAGTAACAACCACTGGTGTAACACAAAGCCAAAAGGCAATGGCCATCACTGAAATTTCCAAAATCAACTCTTTCCCAGAACAGGAACCTTTTACTGCAGAGACTGAGGCTCCCACCTTCAGGACTTTCCAGGGCTTGTTTAAAGTGTTTTGACCCAGACCTCAAGATCTCTGCATTTTGATAAAGGTTACAAAAAAGGAGGGAAAATGTTGGAAATTAGGACGGTGAACAACTATAACTCCATTTTCTTTTTTCTCTCACTGACTAACAGGTTCAAGCTATAAACTGTTGCTTATTTAAGAACATGTCAAGCAGCTATCCATCCTGTCTAGGATAATGATAAATTTTCTTTTTTTCTGCTTAGAAAGCATTTTAAATAATTAAACAGTTTAAAGCTTTGGTACATCAGTAGATTTGCCTACATAACCACTTATTTTATTTTAGTCAATGAACCTATTTATACAAACATTCTGCTTGTTAGGGAACAGAACCCAGCAGATCTTGCTTTAATAATCTCCAGTAGATGAATTAAAAGTTTATGTTCCATTATATTTATTTAAAGCATTCTTGAGTGTTATTTTTGTTTTAAACACTCTTAGAAAACTTCATTTTTGACAGTGTTACCACTTTACAAACACTAAAGAATATTACATTTCTAATTGAGGGTTTTGACTGTGTGGGAGACGAAGCTTAAAACCCAAACGTCCTGTTTTCTGCAATGGTGAAGTAACGAGAAAGGGTTGGAAATCACCTACAATTCCTGTAAGCATGACACATCTGACTAAAAAGCCACTGTGTTGGCTGCAAAATGTAGGCTGACACACATTTACAGTCAGCTGCCCTTTACCATTACGGGTTTCACTCATTCCCTGCTAGTACATTTGAGTGATGCTCCTCACATCCCAATCAGCACTCACACTGGTACATTTTGGAGGAGCCCATCACCAAACACTGAACAGGACCTTGCAGCAGGAGCCCAACTGCTTGATTCAGGAGCAACAGTATGTATAAAAGGCAGAAAATAAGCCCTTTATTTCCTGGTGAGCCCAGGGCTGCCTGACATGAAGTGATGTCTCATGCAATAGGCCACCATGGGTTCCTGGTGCAATTTTCTACCACAAATCACAGGAGAAATAGGCTCCTTAATTTTAGCATGGACAGCCCAGACCGACAGGCTTAGAACGGGCTACAGGATCTGCAAGAGAGGAAGGTCTGGAGCTCATGATCCAGCAATGCCCTTCCCAGCTCTACTGCCCTATGAAGTTCAACCAAAGGCTTCTTCCTCCTGTTTTCATACAATCCGGCCCTCAGAAGAAACCGCTGCATTTCCTGCGAGGCCTCCCTCTGGTTTGAGCCAGGGCGGGCGGGTTTAAGGCCGGCAGGCAGCTGGGGGGCACGGCCGCTGCACCGAGCCTCGGGCGCACGACGCCGGCGGCACCGGCCGGGGCCGGCACCTCCTCCTGCAGCTCGGGCACGAGAAGGAACACTCCCACCACTTCCCCACCATCAGCCACTTGGAACCAGCACCACGCCAGCTTTCCACCTGAGGTACAGGTCTGCACAACTTTAGTGACTCCGTGCCACATCCTAAATAAGTCAGGACACCTTCCCGGCGGAGCCCTTTCCGACAGGCAGAACCCATTCTCTCGAAGCCTGTGTGCGGCCAATCTCCTCAGCCTGCCCTGGTTCACCGAGGACTTTAATTTTTAAGCGGTAGGGGACCGTCCTAAAGGCGAAGGGTCAGCACAACACGCTTGTTTCCATCCCAGACTGGGGCACCCCTGCCCCGCCGGCAGACTGTGAGTCCCTCCCGGGCCCGGGGCAGCCATCCTGCCAGGGGTGCTCCCTGCGTGCCGCCCCGCACGGCGAGGGGAGGAGGCACTCACCGTCTGGAACACCTTGACTGGCAGCCGCCATCCCCGCAGGTGCCGCAGGGTGCAGCCCAAGGGGAGGCGGCGGGGAGTCTTCGCCTCGGGTTCCGTGGTCGGGTCGTAGACTGCGCTGATCATGGCCGGGCCGCGGCGCCCGCTCTCAGCTGGAAAAAACCGAAAGCAAAAGAGAGGCGGGCAGGGCGTCTTCGCCTCCTGTTGCGTGGTCTGCTTGTAGGCGGAGCTGTGCTCCCTAGCCGAGCCGGGCCGTCGGCTCCCAGCTGGAAAACACCTGAAGAAAATGGTTGGGAGGTAGCGGGACGCGTCCGGTTGTGTGGTTTGGTTGTAGGCGGAGCTGTGCTCCCCGGCCGGGCCGGGCCGCCGGCTGCCGGCTGGAAAACGCCTCAAGAAAACGGGCGGCAGGCGGCGGGACGCCTCCGATTGCGTGGTTTGGTTGTAGGCGGCCCAGTTCTCCATGGCCGGGCCGGGTCGCCGGCCGCCATCTGGGAAAAACCGCAACAATAGGGGCGGCAGGCGGCGGGACGGGAGCGGGCAAGGCGAGAGGCCCCGGGGAGCCCGGGGGCCCCGGGGGGCGGCGGTTGTACCGACAGTTGGGCCCGGCGGGACAAAGGCGCTGCCAGCGGCGCCCCCTGGCGGCCACGGGCGGGAGCGTGAGGGACGGCCCGGAGCGCGGGGCCGCCTCAGGCCCGGTCCGGGCTCAGTTCGCCAACAGGGGCTTGGTAAGTAAAGTTTACACGAGTATTCACTTGTCACACGAGATTACGGTATCGAAAGAGGGGGGTTAAGGCAAAGCTTTGCCTGGTTACATTCACATAATCAATTAGGTTGGAAAAACCGTCTGAGATCATTGAGTCCAGCCTGTGACCAAACACCAGCGCTGTGTCAACCAGACCATGGCAGTGAGTGCTACGTCCAGTCTTGCCTTAAACACCTCCAGGGACAGTGACTCTGCCACCTCCTTGGGCAGCCCATTCCAGTGTCTACTCTTTCTGGGAAGAAATTCCTCCTAATGTCCAATGTAAACCTCCCCTGGGTGCTGCTTGAGGATATGTCCTCTTGTCCTGTCATGAGTTGAGAGAAGATCCTGATCTCCATCTTGCTACAGCCTCCTTTCAGGCAGTTCTGGATATCAGTAAGGCCACCCCTGAACCTCCCTTTCTCCAGGCTAAACAACCCCAGCTCCCTCAGCTGCTCCTCGCAGGACTCGTGCTCCAGACCCTTCACCAGCTCAGCTGCCCTTCTCTGGACACACTCCTGCACCTCAATGTCCTCCCTGAACTGAGAGGCCCAGAACTGGACACAGCACTTGAGGTGTGGCCTCACCAGTGCTGAGTACAGAAGAATCATTTTCTCTGAAGACATTCCTTGTTGTGAATGAGAAAATACTCATATCACCAACCCTCTTCTAATATATTCCCACACTTTTGCCCAGGTCAGCTTTTAAAAGTAACTATAAAAGTTTTTGCGGCCTACTAAGAGTAGATTGAACCTTTTATATGTAAGCAAAGGTGTGTTATGTTTGCTTCTGTATTATTGATGTATTACCCACAGAGCTATTATGGTCCTTTGTAGTTAAGTTCAATTATACTTGTTTAAATTCAAAGAAAAAGAAAATTGCTACAGGTTGAGAAAGAGGAGATTTGTTTGCTTAACATTAGCTCTATAGGGACAGATTCCCTGCTTAGGGAACAGGTCAGGCTGTTCAGATACTGCTTCTCTTTGGGAGCCACACAGTGCAGTGGGAATGTGCTACAGAGCCCCATGAGGCTGGGACTACTTCTAGCTCTGCAGGGCCCCCCCTTAACCAGGCAGATGCAGAAGTATGGCCAGAGCAAAGCAGCTGGGCCATGCTCCCTGCTGAGTGTGTACCAGCAGGCTGTGTGCTTCTCCCGGTTAGAAAACACAATCCAGGGGAATACAGTGTCCCTAGGCAGGATCACACAGACCTGCCACTGTCAGCCAATGTGTGGCTGCAGGAATTGGCTTGGGAGGCGAGTGAGCAGGGCAAGTCCTGTGATTCCCAAGGCGTGGGCGTTTCCACTAAAACAAATGAGGTGTCACCATGGGTGTGCCCCAGCTTCTGCCTGGGATTGGGGTGAGTCTAACATGGCTCTGTTGGCAGCATCCCAGACTACAGGACTGAGCAGGTAGGTGCAGTCAGGAACATTTGCTGTTACTGCTTACAAGTTCCCAGTGCCTTCACTACCTCTTTTCACTCTAGTGAATTATAAATTAGATTACATTACAGAAGCTGGCATCTCTCTTCTGAAGAAAATTTCCTTCTTGTTTTCTTTTCTTCCTTGATAATATTTCACAACTGGCTGAATAACTCCAAAGCCACAAAGCATATGTCTAGGCTATACTGTGGTTTGACAGAGACAGAACTGAACCGAGATAGAAGCAAGCAGCTGTCAGGTCTTTTAAGATGTTCAGTAGCATCTAAGGCTATTTTGTAGCCCTTCCCTTGTGAGTCTTTAGAATGCCTTCATGCAGCATTGCTAGATTATGAATACAGATGTTAGTACTGAAGACAACTGTCCTGAGGACAGACTGCTTTTCAGGGAGCTACAGAAACACAAAACAAGAGTACAAGAGATAAAATAGATGGCAACCTCTTTCCAGTTTCTACTGCCTTTAAGCTGGTTTTCCTGTTCAGGCCCTCTCCAGGAAATACATATCAACGATGCATGAATGATAAAGGTTAGCTTGCCATTTAGAGCCTAACTTATTGAGGCCAATTTATTTATTTTTTTATAAGAGGTTAAGGAAAAGTGAAACTCCAGCAAAACTAGGGAACTGTAAGGTCATGTGACAGAGAAGGAATGAAAACTGGACAACAGCATAGCAGTTGGTATCTTGAAAATATTTATAGCATTACATTACGCTGCTCTTCACAGAGGTGCAGCAGGTGTTCCTCACCCTTTTTATCACACTAACTTTCCAGTACAGTGTTTTTCCTTCAAAGAGGGAATTGAAACAACAGTTACTGTAAGCAACAATAGAGTTTAATGCAAATAACAGTAACTTGTGATGTGATGGAAATCCCATTCCAGGTATACAGCTATTAATTTCCTTTTGGTTATGTGCTACACCTGACAGTTTTCCACAAAAAGAAGTCTTTCTTACCCTGCCACAGCCTCTGCTGGACTGGCAGGAGCAGAGCTAAAGGCAGGACATGGTGGCAGAGAAGCAACCCCACGGTCAGATGCTGAGCTGTGGTAACATCTCGAGTCAGCCAGGCACAGAGAGGGACATCCCTGGAAGCAGATTAGTGATGAGTGACCTGGTTTTCTCCCTCATTACATCTCCTCCAAGACACCCTCCACAGTGACCAAAAATCAATGCCAATGGAGAAAGCCCCCTCACTAGAGGAGATGGCAGTGTACACAGCATATGTTGCCACTTCTTGCCCCCATGCCACTTCTTGCTCCCATGTTGAAATAATTTCCAAAACTGTGACTGGAGTTCCTTGAAGCAGTTGGGTAAATGCCAGCTGCTGCAATAAGGGGGCTCCAGGCCACAGCTGCATTGCTGTTTTCATCAAGTGAGCCCCAGTGGCTCTTTGGCACGCTCTGTGTGCTGTGTTACAATGCAACACTACAGCCTGAGTCCCTCACACTCAGCACTGGCCTCACGAATTCATGTTCTCCTTTTCTCACTTTCATAAATGCAGTTATGGGGTTTTTTGCTTTTCTTGCCAGAAGGCAAGGAAGAAGGAAGTAGAAAAATGGGAAAGCAGCTTGGAAGCCTAAACCACTGAAAGAGACAGACTTAGTTTCATTGGAAGAGTGATGAGGAAGAAATGTGTGTTACTGCACAATTCAGAAAGCTCCACTGAATACAGCCTGTCTGAGGCACATCTCCCTCCTTCATTTTGATGTTCTCACATGGGCACCTCAACATATTCTGTTCAAGACTATCCCCTTGTATTACATGAAGTAAATACAGGATGATTAGCTAGCAAATGGAATATTCCAAGTACTGCAACAATGAGCTCAGAGAAGACTTCAATGTGTTGCATCTGCTGAATTTTCTTTAGCTCTTGAGGCTCTATTTTTGTGCTCAGTATTGCAACTGAACTTCACAAACCATGACACCACACTAAACAGGCTTGAATGTGTGATTTTTAAACAGCTGAAGATGAAGAATTAGCATTTTTAACAACTATTACTAAGTATCCCTTATGGCACCAGAGATGAAATAATCCCCACACTTTCCAAATGCAAGCTTAGGCTAACTCTTCTCAGTGGTTTTGTGCATGCATCTGCATGGTACAGAGAAGCATTAAGCCATGAGGTATTTGATAGGCAACAGTTCTGCTGCTGTAGTTGTCCCACTGCAAACTGTTTGCTCCCCAAGAAGAGACTGCAGCCCAACAGGCAGCAATTCTTGCATTTCAGAAGTATCACTAGAAATTTAAGGTTAATATAGTAGCTAATCCATCAAACCTAAAAGCCATGTGCATGTTCCAGAAATTGTAATTTTCAGCTGAAAAATATGACCTGCCTGGAAATAAAGTGGACATTTACTCAAAAATTTCAAGCTTAAAATTTGCAGAACAGCTTTATTAGAATCAGTATACTCAAAAGAACTGACGTGGGAACAGGGTAGAGAAGGAGGAAGAGAAGATTTACAAAATTCCCCTGAAACCTTTTAGTTTCAATCTGATCAGCAACTTGTCTACATTGAACTAGCCCTGAAAGTCTAAAGGAATTTAGTTGATTTATATTGTAGCATTTTTTCAGTGTTCATACTGAATAGAGTTTAATAAGTATTGTTATTAAAATTGTGTCCTGTAGTTCTTGTATCACCTCTTTGCTTTCTGGATCTTATGTGCTAGTCTGAAACTTTGTACCCAACAGCACTAAAGGCACAGAAAAGTGAGTGATTGAGAGCAAAATTAATGTAATTTGTAATGTTACTCTTTCAAAATTTGGAGTAATCCCAAACCTAACCCCTCCCCAGCCTAGAGCAAGAAAGTATTCATGCCAAATTAGCTTCACTGTTTTCACCCAATTTATTTATTTTGGTGCTTCACTTGATGGTGAAAGGAGAACAGGGAGCAGGGTTTACGGGCACTACCTTTTGTGAAAAGGGCCCTCTGTCACAGAGACTGTGTTTTGCATGGTAGCTGTGGTAAATCCCACTTTAATTGTCTACTCTCACCAAAGCAGGAGTTGGGGGAACTGCAGCTCAGGAGGACAAAGCAACCAGCCCAGGAGCCTTGGTCTCATCAGAGGGAAACAAGAAGCCAGAGACATCAGGTTACACAGAAATATTCTCAGGTATTTTCCTTTTGTGGTAAATTTTCCCCCCAGACAGCATGAGCAGGCTGCTGATAGGAAGTGACAGTAGCATTAATAGAATTTGAATGAGGTAAGCAAGCTACTTTAGTATTTTAGAATGAAGAGGCATGGCAGGGGACAGTCTTTGTGTAAACAAGCATTTGTAAATAAGAATTTAAAAATCAAAACAACCAAAAAACTCCAAAGCTATAGGG